TAGACTAATGTGTTAGGAGATGTATGACCCTAGAAGTATTCTCTCTGCATTTCTACTATATTTTGCAGTTGGATGAGGACCGAATGCATGTGTACATGCACAAATGGACAGTAGTTTTGCTATAAAGCTTTGAGGTTGCAATTATTATCACAATTTATTTCACACATAAGCAATAAAAATCTTCAGTTCTTTAAACAAAAAAACTTCAGATTTAATCTTTTAAGGATTACAAAATGCCAATTTTAATGGGGTAAGTTCTGTTTCCAGTTTCATTTGACAGGTTCGCAGTTTTACAGGACCATTTAAGAAATTTTTGGGGTGGGAGATAAAATGTACTCATGCTTCTGAGCTTTAACTTCCTGGCTGAATTCTTTTTGCTTCAGTATTTCCTTAAATTGTTTAATTATTACACCATTTATATTATAGTGTACCAGTTTCTCTTGAACCAAAACAGTCCCACAGCATGATCCTATGCTTCACAGTTGGGATTGTGTTTTCAGGTTTTACAATTTTTCCTCTTTTTCCTTCAACGAAAGTTCGGACCATTATGGCCAAACATTTCTGAGTTTAGACCTGGGGTGCTCAATATGTCGAAGGTTTTGTATCGATCTCAGCAGCAGGTGACAAACTGAGTGCTCCCAAGAGTCTGAAACCAGCGCGTCCTCTTCTGACGCGCTTACCAAAATATTGAAATATCCAAAACGTTTATAACTTTAGAATAAAAATATATCAACAAAGCATGTTCAAGTTAATGATCTCAGTGATTGTTGTTTCAACAACGGCTGTGCTTAACAGACAAAGAGTCTGAAAGGCTTTTCCTCTTTCAAACATGCTATTTATTTTTGTCTCTTATTTAGTGGAAATATTGATGTTGATGAAACTTTCTCCAAAATGATAATATTTTTCAACCTTTATCGGTCCACTGTTGAAAATGAGGAGCTGACATTCACAAATGACATTGAAATAAATCCCAGTCCAACATCAGGTTTGAGGTGATTCCTCTGGAACCTGTTGGTGGAAAAATATCCCAACTTCAGAAGATGTGGCTTTAACTAAACGGAGCTCTGTCGTTCCTCCTGTTAGTCTCAAATGTCTTTTATTGATGTCATCAAACCAAAGTTCAGATCTACAATAACCGATTAATACCTGCTGGTCTCAGGTTTGCAACCAGCTTCTGAAACCAGTAACCTCCTCCCATGGTCAGAATCTCACTGAGGAAGATTCTGATTCTATCACTTTAATATATCTGCTGTAACTGATGGATATTTGCATATAACATAAATCAGCAGAGTTTTACAATTTTTATATTTTTGTGTCATGAGGTAGATCTCAGCCGGTTGGTGAGAAGTTTGGGCACCCCTGCTCTAGACCATTCTTTGTTAAGCTTTCTTTCTATATATCCTTTGGAGTAATGACTTCTTTCTCACTAAGTGGCCTTTCAACCCATTGTAACAGAAAATGTTTCACCGAGGGGAATAACATTCTCCTACCAGCTTTAGAAAAATCTGCACAATGTTATTTGCTTTTGTTCTGGCATTGACGCACATTTTCACATTTGCTGAACACCACGATGGCAGGACCGTCTCATCGTGTTTATGCTTGTGTATAATTGCTTGAACAGATCAATGTGGCATCTTCAGGCATCTGTGAGGTGTAATCAAAGATAAACCAAAGTTGTGAAGATTCACAATTCTCTCCCTGAAGTATTTGTTGATTTCTTATTTTTCACGTCATGTCAGCGCGTTTCATGTGTTGTGTCAAAACACATCGACAGGTGAAACCGGAAGAACATGACATCATTACTTAGGTTATCTTAAGACATGGTAAGGTATGTCTACAGTTTCTGACATTGTACTAATTTCTTACATAAGAGGTACTCAGGATCCTTGTCTGAGGAAGTTAGACATTATTGTACAAATTAAGATTACATTTTCCATTTTCCATGCAAAAATAAATTGACAAATGATGGTCTGATTGCATGTAGTAGTCAAAATTTCTTAAAATCTCTTTCACTGACCAACTTGCAAACACTTGTCTGACCAGAAAATCAGCAATATCTGGATAGTGAGATTTTTTTCTGAGCTTCTTCAATTTTAGTTTTTATTTTGCCCTTGGGTCTTTTGCTTTCTGTTGACACATGCGATCGAACTATTCTCTTCCTCCTTCTGAAGAGAGCTCTCCAAGTTGTCATCAAAAGCCTGCTCAGGCAACAGCCTCTTGGGCAATATTGCTGCACCATTTCTCTTTTGATGCCTTCAAGAAGAAGTCACCCGCTAGGGCCTCGCGTCCCAGATGGGTTCGAGATCTCTTTGAAATGCTGAGCAGCTAAAAGTGTTAACACATGAGGATAGGATAGTCTAAATGTCAGAGGAATTAGTATTTGTGCATGTCAGTGTACATAGTTGCATTACGCCCGGGAGCTGAGTAATAGGATTTTCCAGATTTAAATAAAAGGGCACGAAGATCCTTATTATGGAAACGTTGAGGATTAAAAAGAATTACCTGTACCCATGACGTGCTCTATATCAAAAGAGGTTTTAAAAAATTATTATATCACGGTGAAACGAACTGAAGGAATTGTATGTCTTGTCCTCTTTCTGTATTAGATGGTATCGTAGCATCCTAAATAGCTACTTAAAGTCAATCCCATTAGTCTCGATCACATCTGCAGCACCATCAAAACCTTAACAGGATTATCCCTCTTGACTACCCTCACAACCGTCTTATCAGATCCACACACTGCGAGTGTGTGAAGCAGCTGTGCAGAATGATTATCAATAGGCCAGATGTTGTACCTCACTCCTCCATAACTGAGAAAATCAACCGCATTGATTAGTACTCCCATCTGTCATGCTAGCATGGTGTTAATAAGCCGGCTGCCGAGCGCTCCTCATTAGAGAGCGAAGTTACACAAAGGCTGTGGTTCAAAGGCTGTCCCAGGTCATATCAGAGGAACTGAAAGAGGAGAAGCGCACCCTGATAAGTGCTGCCATAGCTGAAGTACAGCTCCATAGGTAGAAAAGAGAGGGAGGAGGCGTGTCCAAGCTGCTGCAATTAAAGCTCTAGAGCAATGCTGGCTAAATGGTCAAACATGCTGGAGAACCATTCAGTGTTGTATTTCTTGTAGAAGGTGTAACCACTGAGGTATTAATCTTTTTTTTTTTTTTTTATGTGAGCATTTCACACACAGAAAACTACACTGTCCGAAAACAATCTTGGCAAAAGCCTCTGATTTTTTTTTTTCAACTGTGAAGGATTTCTCAGTGAATAGTGAAGTTGTAACTTACCAATTTAAACATGAAAAGCAAAAGCCTGCTGAGAGAAGCTTCAAAGCTCATCCAATTTATTTATGTTTAAACGGGTTGAAAGTTTAGCGATATCAAAAAGCATATGGCCAGTTCGGCCTTTGATCGATTCATATTTATCTAGATTTTTATTCATTAATAGTCAACATTAAAGAGAAATAAAATAGTTGTTTTGTGAACATGCAAAGAAAAATGTTCTTGAAAACTAATAGATACAGTGAAAACAACCATAAAACATCAGGAAAAGAAACTCCTTCATTAACTGTTCTGATTGCGTTTTAGTTTTATTTCTCACAGCTGTATGTAAGATCTTACATGTTCTCACCAAGACCTTAACTTTTAAATATGTCAACTAGAACTACTTAAACATGAGGCATATTTTGTATTTAGCTTCAAAATTTGTACAAATAAAAAATTGCCATTGCATCTTTAAAACAAAAATCAAAATAAATCAGCAACTTCTATGTTATTGTTGCAGTAGTACATTTGAACTCACACAACGACATTTCCTTTATGCTGTTATGTCAATATTTACATATTCTAATTTATCTTTAAAAATCTAATCAGTCATAAATAAATTGCAATCGATCCTAGTTACAATGTAGTCAGTTTATTATTCCAGTTTTTTCAAAGGCTCTCCATCCAGCAGACAGCATTGAGTCACTGACTTTCAGCATTCACTCCTCATGGACGAGCATGTTGCAACAGTTTGAAAGGGTCGAGGATGAAAGACAGCACATACAGTTTGTTGTAACAAAAGCTAAGACAATTGGTTTGTCTAGTAGCGAGACAAGGCTAAATGCTGAAAGACAAAACCAGCTGTCTGCAGAATGAGAATGTTAAGTAAAGTATAACCCCTCATGCACTGGTGGAGCTAATGAGCTTCATACCTGTTTGCTTGTTAATGCAGTTAAAGGCTGAATCTATTCTATAAATCTTAGCTTCTACATACCCCTCTCATCCTAAGGCCACTACCAGAAGTGCTTTGACGCCTGTCTAGTGGTCAGAGTGTGAACTGCAGCACACCGGATGCATAATAAACTTGCCAATAAGTATAAAGTCGTAACCCTGAACTAAGTTATGCGATAAAAAAATATGTGAATGCTTAGTAATGACTAAATTGCTAAAATTGGTAGTATGTGGCCAAAATTCTAAAAGTTTAATTTCAGGCATGAAGCTTTTCAGCTACCAAGGAATGGAAATGAGTAATACTGATAAAGTATTACAATTAAGTGCTTATACTTATTTCTGCAATTATACTTACTTGCAGAAATGTTCATTTGTGTGCATGTGCTTGGATTATGAAACTTTGAATCAAATAATAACTTCATATTTTTTTAAAAAAAAATCAAATATAAGTAAGGATGAATTAATAATTACTAACATAAGCACATATAGTCAAACCTGTTTTTTTGTGAAACAGTGGTTAAATACAATAAACATCTGTTTGCACAATCTCGATGTTCTTAAACATGTGTTAGCTTGAGAATGAAAATAAATTCCCCTTGAAGACAATAAAGTTACAGTCAAGTTAAAGTTGATACATCTAGCGATTTATTTCAGGAAAAAAGTTAATTTCCTAAAGCGTGGCTGATATTTGCACTTGAAATATACACTACATAGAGTGTATTTGTGGCACTTTCCTGAACTACATCTTTAGTAGTTGACCCTTTTCATGTTCTTCCTTCCTTTCAGATATGTGACAAGGAGTGGCATTACTACGTCATCAACGTGGAGTTCCCAGTGGTGGCGCTATACGTGGATGGAGTCACTTACGATCCCTACCTGGTGACGGATGACTGGCCCATCCATCCATCGCAGATTGATGTGCAGCTCACAGTTGGTGCCTGCTGGCAAGGTGATGCTGTTGGAAGTTTTAAGAGGCATTCAGTCGTTGAATTAATCGCCTCGAAACTGAAAGAGTTCAACTGGGAGAAAAGTTTGGACATACAGTAAAAGTCAAAGTCATTATTTGGGCTTTAAGGAATCTGCTGCTTCCAGAATAAGTATTACTTTCAGGGAAACACTGACTGCCGAACATGCTCTTTGGCCTTGAATGCACAATGTAATTAAGAAGAACCCTTAGTCTGTCTTTGACAAACGACTGACCCAGTCTGAATGAAGGCCCCAAATTAAAGTGTCCTCTAAACTGATAGCTGCCGCTAATTGGACACAGAAGAAGAAAAGGGACTTTTTACCCCTGGTGCACCCCACCATTGATCTGACACACCAAAGAGCTGCTCAGCGATGCTCTGCCTTAGATGAAGATATCCCTCTGTGTGAGAGCGAGAGAGGGTCATCTTTTGTCACTTTCATCGGTGGCAGAGACCGCCCCACCGCGCCTTCCTCCTCTTCCTCCCCTACCCTTTCTTTAAGTGAACACAGCACGAAGTGCTTTTGGGAGGATTAAAAGGGGCTTCAATTGAAAAGCGAGTTAAGAGAGTATTGCAGCTGTTTCACAATTGAGGCTAAGCCTCAGTTAAGAGTCATAAAGGCGCTACCGAAATCTTAACATAAGCCATTAGCCACAGCAGATTGCCTTTTCAAAGCACTAAGCTGTTTGTATCTGCCATATTGATTGCAAAGATGAGCTCATCTGTTGTCTGACTGACTTCTGAAGCTTCTGGTCTGAACCCATTTTCGGAGTAGAATTGCTGGAGTGATTATCTGCATTTTCTAGTTTACTGGTTTATATATATATAAAAAAAAACAGGATTCAGAGACTGATATGAAGTTCTCTCGGTAAACGGCTTGATGGAGTGTGATGGCGGAGTAAATAAAAGATTTGTCAGCTCTAAACAGTTCCGTGATAGTCTGCTGTATTTAATTCAATTTAATGATTTAATTTCATGCTTCATAACACACAAATGGCGAGTGAGCATTGTCTCACTCGCCATTGAATCTAAACAGAATCTGTTTGGATTATAGCAAATAAATTTCATGTGGAATTATTGTATTTCATGTGTTTACCCAAAGGAGCCATTCTGGTTTATTGCGACAGGTTTCTGAGTGTGTAAAATGTGTAATTAAGCCTGCTGTTGACAATATTAGCAGAAGCTAACATATGGGATTTCATTTTTAGCACTACAATAATGTATTAAAAAGAAAACATATTTTCTGACCTAAAGAAAACTGGAATTTTATCAGCATGTTCACAATTAAAGCCTATAATTGATAGGCAGAATGAACCTTATGGGAGCAAAGAAAGCCCAGGATTTTACATTTTTTATTGTCAGTCTATTTTGTGGATTTGTTGGTATGTTTTGGGTCTGCAGGGTTCCCTTTTGCTTTGTCTTGAGCTTTTAATTTATTTAAATTTCTTTATGGATTGTGCTCATATTTTTCTCAAGCACCCTAAGCATTCTGGGATTAATAATGGTGAGCTGACCAGGTCTTGTTGCAATAAGGTTTCCCTAAAACATAATGCTTTCTTGTCTTTGCTCCACTATTGGTATGAGGTTCTCTTTCTTGGTATGCTGAATTTGGTTTACACCAATCAAGTCCCTGGCTCTGGTGTTCAGCTTTAGATTAATATGTCCATAAAACAATATTCCTGAGGGTGGAGTAAGGATTTATTAGAAATTCCTGGATGTTTTGGAGACTGTTATAATCTTGCAACTTGCTTTCAGGATTGAACTTGCATGGATTGCTCATACATTAGTATGTTGGCAGTTGTTTTAAATGTCTTCACGCCCTGGGGACTATTTTCCCTACAGTGGAATAGCTGATTTTATATTCTTTATGTCCCAAAGCAGACTCAAGAGTTGCTATAATCTTCCTTCTGAAGGCTTCAGATACATTTTTAATCTCACTGTGGTGTTTACTTTTATTTCAACAGTCAGGAGCAAATCACACTTTGAGGTTTAAACAGGGCAAATATCCTGAAAAATGGTGACTAGGTTCTTATGGTTATTTTTTTGTATTTGACGTGGTAATTTATTCCTTGCCAAAAATGTGTTTTGTGAGTTATTTTTCTCATTTAACTTAAATTTCTCAGTAATTGTAAAAATGATATTAAATATCCGTATTACACTGGAATATGTTTGAAAACACACAGGCTGTCACAGTGTGCTAATTGTTTTACATAACTATATATTTGAAACGTGTTCATGCATAAACATAGTCACATTTATTCAACAAACTTTAATTGCCACAAATTTGATTTAACGCTTTCCCTCGCAAAGTTTTAATTTATTTTGTACTGCAGCAGCTATTTTCTATTTATATGAAAAGTTTCTTCCTCCCACTTGGGCCTTCTCTAAAACCAGAGAGCAAGTGCTGGCTGTGCTCTTCTCTCGCAATCTCACACTCACTCGCCTATATTTATTCTCTGACCAGTTCTTTCTGAGAAATCTTTGATATTTAGAGGAGCACAATCGTCTTGCCACCTTCTTTGCTTTCTTAGAGTGTGAAATCACATGCCACTGCCTGGCCTCTTAACTTCCTGCCGCCAGCAGCAAGCATGCAGCTGTGATCTGTTGGTGATTGCACTTGAGCACAAATTGAAACTGATACACCTTTATACAAAGTAAATTGAATAAATATAGGCCCATAGCCTAGGATGCATTTATCCACATACTCTAAATCACACTGAGTGTGAACTCACATTTCTCACGTACCTAAGCAACAGTCCTGCTTCCAGCTCTGCAGTGCCTTTTCACACTTCTGTTTTGGAGATGAATAAAAATAATAGAGTGAAGATCTGTAGAGCAGTAAAATAACTTTCACTCAAGTGGAATGATCAGCACCTTCATTATCCTTATTGTGCTCCCTCTCCCTCTTGCTCTGCAGTGTACTACTAATACCCTCACCTCAACTTTCTGTCTTTTAATCTGCTGTTGGGGACCTTAATAGCTTCCCTGACTGCATCGTAAATTGATAACATCTGCCAGGGAGGGACTGAGGGACAGTTGGGTGTCTTAAGATAAAGGACTGCTAAAAAGTGAGTTTAGAAGAGGAAGCAGGTGAAGCGTGACAATAACAGAAAGAATATATGGGATTCAATATGTGGTCATGGGATTTTGTAAACATGTGGACGAAAACTATTCTTCCCACGTTCCCATAAGCACCGAGGTGGGATATCAGCAGCCGCTTCACAGAAAAGATAGAGATAGTCATGTTTTCATGTAGCTGCTCAAATGGAAAACAATTCCTCCTCTATTGCAGCGAGGATGAACAACAGAAACACACATGACTCTGCAAATAACCATACAATACATTATCCCAGTGACTGTAGTGTAGAGACTAATGTTTTGAATTCAGGAAGCAATTGCCAGAGTTGCTGGGTTTCAGCTGTTTGAAATGGATATTCACACTACAGTTTCCACTTCTGTGCAATGTTTCTATGCATGATAGATTTGGAAAAAGTGAAAAAGCTGAATAGTGTTCAGCTTTTTTTTGTTGTTTCACTCCCAGGCCATAATTTATGACCCAAATAGGACTGAGAAGTACGTATTAAATTATAAACATAAGCCACAAAGATAACACATTCATAAAACACATACATAATCTGTGGTCATCACACATTGGTTTAGAAATAAAGTCAAATAAAGTCAAATTTGTCTTATAAAACAGACAAATCTATAAGCTGTGTACACTGACAGACCCATTAGATTCTCTGATTTTGCACATCTAAACTTACAAACTAATCAAAAACGAATTAAACCAACAATCCATTTGGGAGGAAGAGTGCGATTACACAGAAGATCACAAAGATTTGTTTGGAGACAAGCTATGAGATACAATACAGGAAGTTGGTTTCACCCAGCTTATAGGTCATTGCTTCACTTCATATTCCCTTTGTTTAATTAATGAATTAATTTATTTAGTTAGTTTTGATCCGTAAGACAGGATTCGTGATCTGCCTTTTCCTAGGCAGATAACGAATGAAAGAAACGTTCTTTACTTGCATTGGATTACTTCCAGAATTAAAGCACAGCAGAGAAAGACAGAAGAAATAAATGAAAGGAATGCAAAGGTGAAGTGTGATAGGCATAGCTACAGTAACCTTTTAGCTAATGAATGGTTTGGAGGCCCTTATTGCTGATTCTGGCCTTTATGGGGTTCAGAGGACAGACTTTAAATGTATTGACTTTTTCCTTCCCTTTATTTAGCCTGAATAGGGAGGCTGAATATCACTTACTGCAGTGCCCTGCTGCTTTATCACCACATGGAGAGGCATAACTGCTTTTTGGTCTTTGGGAGCTAAAGGCTCAACAACATACCTGGTTGTTTTGCTCATTTCTTCTTGTGCCTAACCCTGTTATCTTGTTCTCATAATTTTAAATTGATGTTTTTTTGTATAAATGTCACCAGTGGAAAAGGACAAAAGGGAATCAAATGTGTTTATGCAAACCAACATCTAGTTTGGGGTTAGCAATCACTGTCCTACTATGAAGAGTAATGCACTAAAATCAGTCAACATCATTTTCCTGATATGCTTATAAAGAGTCTTGTAAATGATTAGATTTACTTCAAGCACTATTTGATGAAAGGTGGAATTTAAGGAGGTAGCAGCTCCTTCTGTAGGAAACAATCAACACATTTACCTGATAAGAGAACATGCATGTCCTCTGCTGTGTTACTCAGACAATTAGACTTTATACTCATCAATACAAAACAGGGTTTTTTCAGAAGCTCTGATCTTAGATTCTTTCTGACAAACCTTATTCTGACTGTCATGTTTTTAGGAAGCCAGGAGCATTTCAAACTCAATATTGATAGTTAAACAGGCCAACCTGCATCAAAATGCTAAGTAATAATGTGATTTCTAATTGTATTACTTGAAACAGAAATAAATGTGGGTTTATCCTGACTTAACTAAATTTAGAAAGTTCCAGAAGGCATTTTCTACAGTTTATTCAAATTGCTTGATTTTTTTGCTCTGATTTTATATTTATTGCTTATTTCGTAATTGATAACTCCATTATGTTTTTATGATGTAAAGCACTTTGAACTGCCTTCTTGCTGAAAAGTGATATGTAAAATACACTTAACTTGATCAAATTAATGTCAAATATCAATGTGTTCAATTGTGGTAGAAAAATACAGTCTTTTAAGCAGTGTTCTAAGTTTTTCATCAGCAGTTCATTCTGCTCTGTTATTGCTTTTGAATACCTGCCTGAGAAGGTTTAGGTATTAAATAACAAAAGAAGGATTAAGTTCAGAGCGGACATTCTTGTGAGTCCATTCTTGTTTCCCGACATTCACACTTTCTACAATGTCAAAATAAAAGTCTTACACTGACTCGTTATTCCAAAACAACACTGTGTTGCATTGCAGATCTGTGCAGCCCACTATTTGCCTGTTAACTCCATTGTTAGACTCTAATGTAGTTCCTGTAAACTTCACTGCAAAACTAACAAACCTAGTTGGACTTTATCTTTAATAATGTTTCCTCAAAGCAAAGTGAATATGTTCCTAATACAAAAATTCATTATGTGGATACTTACGTTTTTTTTGTGTTTGTAGGTGGAGAAGTTACCAAGCCCCGGTTCACTCAGTACTTCCGGGGAAGCTTATCGGGACTGACCATCCGACCAGGGAAGATCGAGAGTCAGAAAGTCATTTCCTGTCTGCAGGCCTGCAAAGAGGGACTGGACATTAACTCCCTTGAGAGCTTGGATAAGAGTATAAAGGTACAGAGAAACACTCTGACAATACTCTGACAATAAAGAAAAAGAAGCCAGTCGTAATTCAGAGGGAATAATAAAGTATGAAGAGTGGACTGAAATAATTTTTTTTTTGTCACAAATATTATAGCATAGATTAATTTGAAATAAATGTTTCATACTGCATACTGCATTGAACACAAAGTTATTCTGAATTACAGTATTAAATCTTATTCTGCAATTAGACTTCCTGTCTTAAAGGTGCCTTTGTCTCTCAAACATTAGCAGTCACAGAATGGTTGGATGAGAATAAGAATGATGGGACTTTGACTGTGTCCTTCCCCTAAAAACCGACCCAACTGAACCTGTCTGAAACTTAAGAACCATCAATTTCAGTTTCCTGGATCCCTCAGGGCTTTTATACCTTGCACAGCTTCCCAAAGGCACTTTTACTTACTTTAAATCCTTCTCAGTATCTGAAACAGAAACTAATGAACATTAAGGACAATCAAAGAGAGACAAATATAGTATTAGAGCTTTATGACTCACAAGTCAGATAATCAGAAATATTTCATAGCACTAATGTTGAAAAGCTACATGATCTAAAACAATTGGACATATTCATTTTTAAGTTCTCTCAACTTCCAGTTCTAACCCAGACTATAAAAAGGAGACTGTATAATCTGACAATTGAATAGAGGTGGAAACTCGCCAGTTTCCCATTGATCGACTCTGAACAGTGATTAGCAGATCAAACATTGAAAATTATGATCTTGGTAATAATCTTGTTTGATTTACTGAATCCAAACTTCAGATGGCTCCATCTAATTGTGAATGTTGTGAATGCAAAGAGTAGTGAGTAAACATTACTGGGTTAGTCGAAATTAAATTGTTGGGTTTATTTTGTTCCCCAACCTGCAAGAATCAACCAGACACAAATTACTTTTCCGCAGAAAAGGGGAGAAGAGCTCGACGTGGAGAGAACCGCTGCCAAACGCTGTCTGAGGTCAACTCCGTCGGTTCTCAGTCCCCAATGTTACCTTATTTCCATAAATGAGAGTAGGTCTTGTGGCATTGTAAATAAATACTAGTTTAGAATGTAGGTCCAAATGCTAAAAAGGTAGACATGAGATCAATATATGAGGTAGTTCATTCCATAATTAACTACATATCTTTTTAAATAATAATTTATTATTTTTAATAAGTTAGAGTGATTATTGCTTAATAACCTTATGGTGTTGCCATAGAAATGGCTGTTAAGCTGGTGTGAAGAGAACAGGCGTCGATAACACAGAAAGCGCCACAAATCTCCTTAAATTGGCAGATTAAATCTGTGAGCAGAAGTTTAAACACGTTAGTTGTAGCAGAGTTAATACAGAGATTAAAAAAGACCTAATCTAACACCAAATATTAACTTCCTGCGTTCAAGCACTAGCACTGCTGTTCTGAAAGCTGCAACAGGAAATGAGAAGCTCTTTAAAATAGTATTAGTTGTTGTAAAATTTGTGTGATTTTATCTTATGAAATGCTGTCTTGTTTTTGCTATGGCCTAAATGTTTTATAATTATTGTAGGTATTATGTTTGGTATGTTTCAGTATTTTAGAATCGCTGATGACATTTCATTAAAACTATCAATAAACAGCTGTTAATTAAAAAAAAGGCATTCAGTTGATGACATATCCAGTTGAAAATCTAATGTTTTATGATTGACATGACATGCCAAAAACTCAGTTTCCAAGAAGCAGAGAGAATATTCCAGAGTAAAATGTCTTGGATGACACAGTCAGTTGTTAGCAAACACTGCTAATCCATCTCATTTGCTTTTATACTTTTTTAATCTCTGTTTGACAGTATAGCCACTGTCTTTACCTCTCTGAGACTTGGGGTCATAATTCAGTTGTTATTTGAGCTTTTGAGATGCTTATCAGCTGCTCCTGGTTGTAAAAAAGACAGTACCTTCAAGATATACATGCAACAAGTGTAAATGTAATTGAAACATGCATAGTGAACCTCTGTTTTTAATGGCTTGTGTCGACTGGACCTCATTCATCATTTTCTAGTTACTGCTATTGATTCTATTTTTCACACTCACACACACAAATAACCAGCGACGAGCAGACCTTAGAGTCGCATCACCCATCTTCCCCCTCCTTCTCTGTCGTAAAAAAAAAAAAAGTCCTTTATTAACTTGAGCGTTTTCTGCAGCCGTGGATGCTCTACAGCTTGTTCCCGCTCAGAACCTCTCCTGTCTACACGGAGATGTTTTGCATACATTCTTCTTGAATGTGTACAAGGAGAAGCACACATTTTTGATCTCCGTGTTGCGAGAAATGTTTTGCTTCAAACACCAGCAGAATCACCACCTGGTTTCCATGAAACTTATCTGCTTTTCTCTTTCTCTCCCCCCAAATTTTCCTTTGCACCAGCCTGGCTAATCCATCTCCCTGTGCTGTGGAAGACAGGGGGCAGACAAGATAAATGGGGGTTTGTGCACACCCGAAACTGTCACCCCTCTTAACCACCCACCATCAGCTCTTTTAACTCGCTTTTTCATCTTCCCCTCTTCAGACTTGCTCTCTCCTAAAGCCCTCTCTTTGCATAGGTCTCCTTGTGCTGTGATGCAGTAAAGAGATGCTTGGCAACCTTTTGAGACGGCTCTGTGGAACGAGGTGCTGGGCTATGAGAGCAGGGGAGGATGTCCTCTTAAGGGCCGGTGCAGTTTATCTTTAGAGTACCATTATATCTTCTTCTTAGCCACACTCATGTGGAACCAATAAGAGTGCAGGAACTTAGGGAAAGAGTTTATCCAGGGAGGTGGAGGGCTGGCACTTTGCAATCAGAGGAGAATATCCTACTTAGAAGGAGAGTCTGAGGAAGGTAGGCAGTAAGAGTGTTGACAGAAAATAGGATGTTGAGTGGAGTCAGCAAGAGAAAGGGCAATGTGGATGGGAAAATGACAGGGAAGAACTCTGGGGAGTGTCACCTTGTCGCCAGGACCCAGTTTGAAGGAATAGGTAGCAATCAGTGCTGTTGCAGGAGGAACACACAATAACATCTTGGGGCAAGAAAGTCCTGTCATGAAATATCAAAGGGTTGCACAAGTAGGACCAGATTGTATAGATTTTTTTCCGTTTCTTCTGTTGTATCCATATTGATACTTAGGCAATTGTACCAAAAATGATCACTGATGGATGGTTTTTCACCTTCTTCTCATCGGGAGTTGCTGTAAAGTCTAAAAAATAGGAAACTTTGTAGAACAAACCAAAATTTATTAGATCGGGACAGCCTGTACTGTTTTTACCAGGCAGGATTTTTTTTTGTTTTGTTTTGTTTTTACTTCACTTTGTTTTTTACTTGGCTCAATGAAAATTACCTGACTAATAACACTGATCTGAGAAGTATTATTACTATAAAAGCTGAGTTGTAACTTTAAATCCAAATCCTGACTCTAAACATTTTCCAAAATTCATATGTATGTCATCTAAATGCTACTTCCATCTTTTGAACATACAGTATATATATTGCCACTGAGCTGCTCCTGCCTGTTGAAAGTTCGAAAGACTACATTGTCAATACCAATTAAATGCATTAAGTGTAGGTTCTACCTTATGCTCATAAATAGTTTACAGAACTCTGGCACATATAAATTACCAGTACAAGCTATTTTAAAAGTGTTGAATAACTTCAGTCTGCTTTTCTGCAGCCTCAAGAAGTTGTTATTCCGAAAGAGAAGAAAAACATCTGTACACTAACCGTGCTGCAATCAGATAACTGACAGACAAAGCTATTTGGTGAACAAAGTGGAGCACTTAGCTGCTAAATAGCCACAAATTCCCCACCGGAATTGCTGCAGAGTTAAGAGGAGAGTGATTATTGGACTCTCCTGTACAAAGTAGCCACAGATACCTCTCCAAGTGATTAATGATGCTGCTCTGCACCTGCTGAATTTGTAATTGACCGTAAACATGTTCAGCAACAGTTTTATGCGAGGTTCGTAGCTCTCCCAACTCGCTACACTGCCCCCAGGTGTTCAAAATAACAATTTCAGCCTCTTTTCTGTTTTATTGATTGACCCAGTAGATTCTGATCTGAAATCAGTTTTGAACTCAGAAAATGACAGACCAGTTAGCTTCAGGAGAACAGAACACTCAGATCTCTCTTTTTCCTCCAGTAGGTTGGCCTGTTTATGGCTAACAGACGAATAGTGATGGTTTCCAAAACAGAAACCAGAAAGATCCACTGCTTAAATGTCCATCAGTTTATTTAACATCTACTTGCTTCTCGTTTCTTCCATTTTCCAGTTCCACTTCAACCCAGCTCAGTCCATTTTGGTGATGGAGGGAGAGAATCTGGAGAACATTAACACAGCGGTGAGGAAAGTTTCCTACATAAACTCCCGCCAGTTTCCCACCCCGGGCATCCGTCGCCTGCAGATCTCCACCACCGTCCAGTAAGTGTGTCACCGACTTGCTCTTGCAGTTATTTTGTCTTCAATCCAACTTGTCCTCGTCTTCCCTGTGGATTCCTTCATATTTAGCATGCCTTTTATTGTTTCTGGGTTTCTGTGGGTCTCTTGTGAATGTTATTCCACCTCAACATTTCTGTTAAGTGTAACAACAACACAGAAGACAGCCTTGACTAATTTAACTCTCTTTTCACCCATTGATTTCCACACGTCTTGTCCCCGTGCTGCCATTTCTTTGGCTGTCACTTCCTGTTAACACACCAAATTGAGTTTGCTGTCGCCACTGGGGGCTAGTTTTAACATCCTCATGTCATGTATTAATAATTCCAGTCGGGTTTTGCTGGAGGAGTCAGAAAATAAAGATGAAAAAACTGAACGTGAATCTGTATGTGCGAGGGAGGGAGGGGGAGAAAGAGAGAGTGGCTTGTAAAACAGTCTCCCTCAGTGGGTAACTATTAAAATTCATGATTGTTTTAAATATATGTAGACCCCTGCAGCACAGCCCTGGGTTCCATCTCTCTTCCCTCCCGTCAGGGTCTTTGCACGGACACGGACCCGAGGACTGTGTGAACGCTGGTGATAAACCAAAGCCATTGAAGCTGGAGGCATAGCAGTTGTTAAGGAATACATTATACAAACGCAAATAAGCTTGCATCATTGCATTGGTAAATTTTGCTCAAATGAAATTTTGCTTGCAGATCCTGGACAAAGCGACAATAGCTCTAAAAATATGCAAATTTAAACTTGAAACTTGGCTTCCTGCCAGGAAATTTTGGCAACTGCATGACAAAGCCTGTCATGCAGTTGCGAGGATTGTTGTGCAGAGAAAAGTTGAGATGCTGAAGGATTTTTGGCAATTAAGCAGGTTTCTTTCTGACGTTTCATAATTGCAATAATACAGCAGCACTAATTCCTAACTACAGATCTTTAGTTTTTTTCTAAAAATGCACAGAAAGATGGAAATGCTATCAACTTTGTTGCTGATGTGAGAGGAACATAAGAAATGCAAGGTGACCAAAATACCAGGATTTGTTTCTACTTTTACCAACCTTGACCAATGAACGTCCAATAGAAATGAACTAGCTAATATGTGAGTGCCCCATAATAAGGCCTTTCACAACTGCTTTCTAAATAAGGTGGAAGCTACGGGTCAAAAGTGCATATGCGTTCCCATGACATTCTTTGGCCACTGCGCCATATAGTGCCCGGTATGACAATTACATTGGATTCAAAGTGCCTTAGTGGTCAGCAACGGGAAATACCAGCAGTTTCCAGACAGCAGCCTCGTGTAATTGTGGCCTTAGGGTTTAATGTCTTGATGAGAATAGACTGCCTCTGATATTCTTCTGCTCCAGTTGCAATTTTTCTGCTGAGATGATAAAATTAGAACCTTAGAATAGATAGAAAAAGTATACTGCCCACAAATGCATAAACTCTTATTAACTCATTAACAGCAGTGAATATTTTAATGAAATGGTTTAACATTATTTGGCAAACTTCTTTCTTTTGCTCTTGCATTTAAAAGGCGAGTGTCTGTGCAGTGTATTTAATAAACCTAGGTGGACTTTGCTAATGACCTTTAATTCTGCACATTTATCAACCTTAGACCACTAAACAGTTTGCCTCTCGCCATAGTTGTTACTGTTTCATCTACTTTGAGTTAACAACAGCAAATGTGTGTTAAGTGTGTTCTGGATCCTTCTGCTGATCTAATTTTTAGCTCTTGGTTTTACTGCTCTATCCAGATGAATGACCAGCAGAAACACTGGCCTCTACCATTACACTTATTGTCACTAAGTATTAGAGGCATGATGTACACAAAATAACTGTAAAAACAATTGAATTTGGAAATAGGCTGACCGTGAAATAAAATTACTGGCTGTGAATCAGTTGTGTCCGAACTAAACTGCAACGTTTAAGTACTTGCACTCCATCTTTTTTATTTCCAAATAAAAAAAAACTTCTCCATAAACAAAACTGAGTATTTTAATAAGGCAAAGTACTTTGATTTTTGTATAAAACAGGGGACTTGTAAATCATTATAAACCTTAAACAAAAAATGGTTATTAATGTGTGCCTTGTTAAAAGAAAGACATATTTCTTTTAATATTTTTTTGAGTGGGCTGTTTTTTACAGCTGTTGTTGGTCCAGAAATGGTTTTAGTCAATTCTCATCAACAGTATGGTAGGTAAGGCTCATTCTTTAATCTGAAATGCTTTATTGAAAAAAGAACATTTTGTTGTACCAAACATTTTCCATTGAAAGAGGTTTTACATTTAAAAAAAGACAAGACTATTCGAGGGGTGTCCATCGTCTGCACTTTGGGCACCTCTGCCGTAAATCCAAACAATAAATTTTGGAGGATCAGATGCAATAGTTTTTATCCAGCTCTCAGTAAAGTCACTTAGTTTATTTTTATTCTGACAGTAAAATGTTTACTCGCCTGGGCATGATGTCTCATGGACATCCCTTTTAATAATGCAATTCAACCTTTCCTTCTGCAACACAAAATAGTCATACAAAACGCAGCTTCTTTGAATATCTACAATAATCATTGGAGATTGATGAAATAATACGTTTTAAAGAATGTATGCTTCCGCCCCTCAGTGCAGTTTATTTTGTATCGGTCTACCAATTAGTTCTAAAGTGTTGATCTATTCACACTACATATCCCATAATGCACAGAACAACTGGCTCATCACGCCAGCTATGGGTCCACACAAGCTAGCTTGTGTGAAAATCAGATGGAGGAAGGAAACTTGCCAGACTTTCTATGTAGTGAAGCAATGGAAAAACTCAGTCAGCCTTGGCTTGTGCACATTTTAAAGATAACATGAGCAAAACTTAATCTGGAACTCTTTCATAATCCTTTCGCTTCTGATGCAGAGAGGTGCCTGTACATGCAGATGGACCTAATAGAGCTGCAGGGCAACAGCACACATCAAATTATGACTCAGTGGGTCCAGCACCGCTTTCCTGCTCCATTCCCAAAATGATGCCCCAACTGCCTTCAAGCTGCTTCAATGCTCTGCTTGTTTGTAATGGAGACTTGTGAGAGCGAGTGTTGCTGGTGAGGAAGACGCACAGAAGCTTTCTGACTGATGTGTCGCTCCAAAGTATTCTAAGGTTTCCACGACTCAAAACCTAACAAATTCATTTCTTGTCAAGAAAGGCATAAAGGAGCAGAAAAAGTAGCAAAAAGCGACATAAAATGTTATTTTTGTGGGATTTTCTGTTTGTCCTCTGCAATGTCAGCACAAACTTATGTTTCCACCAGATTCTTATTTCTTTCTCGAATATGTTTCTTTTTTTTCTTTTAAAACTAATCTTTTATGTAATGCATTACCTTGCCACCTGGATTTAACGAAGCATCCTATTGGATAATTAATGCATGGCCGACTGTCTTTCAGCTGGCAACAAGTTATTTAACCCCAACTGATGAGATAAGTAGCTTCTCATTTCTTAAACAACCATGTGGAAAGAGACATCCTGTAGTTGTGAAAAAGATATTATTATGGTAGGAAGGGTCAAATCATTGGCAAGCACCAAGCAGAGGAAACGTCTAAAGAGATTACAGAAACAACTAATTGCGGATCTTAAACCAGTTTCGGTTTTGAAAGAAGGAAACACCCTACAGCAGCTGTCTATGTTCTGCTTCAAACATGAATAAACTTGAAAGTTTGTATTGGCACACTTTGTTTTAAAGTTTTATATAGTTCCATATTTCTGTAAGGTTTGATGTTACTGCATTTAGTTTTACTTCTTGCTACTTGTCCTTTGATTCTTCAACTAACAGACAATGGATTTGGGATTAATACAGCTCTTTTACGCAGTAGTGTATTTTCTCATATGTTTAAAAATACAATTATAATAAAGATATGACAATAATATTTTCGCATTTGACTGTTTTTACTGTGAAATTGATATTGCTGGTGAACATCATTTATGTATTATTTAAAATGAATAAATAAAATGAATTCCCAGTCGGTCACCCAATTCTTGTTTATGCAATTTATTAAATATGTGTGCTGGATGATGCCGTCAAACTGAAAGAAGAAAAGTTGCAATGCAGAATAAAAATCTTAAAAGTATTGCGACAGTCATTCCGATTGAGGAGATAAGTACAACAAGGCCGACTGTCCCTTTAAAAGTCCCTCCGTGGTTTTATAAAGGCTTTACCACCTTCTCAATTTCAGTAAATTTCAGATACAATTCAAATATATTTTGTTTATTCAAAGAGAAATATTAACATAACTAACATATTCCAGGTATTTACTCATTTTCACAGCTTTTCATTTCTGTTTTGAGGTAAAAGTGGGAACAGTATGAGTTGTCTTTCTTCAGAAATCAGAAAATTGGGGCATTTTACGTGTAAAATTTGCACCTATTGGTTTAATTTATATGATTTTTTTTTTAAACTGCCTGAACTCTGAATGATGAAATAAAAAGTAAAGCTTTGAAGTTCTTGTAAATCATTTTTGAGTTTAAATGCAAATTAAAATTTCTTAAAAAACAACAAAAACATCCCAGCTTGAGATGAGAAAACATTATGCTGATGTGTGTCATGGATTGGTGTATTGCAGCATAATTTGCATCAGTAGGTGGGAATAGACAGATAATGCCTTGCAGCGTAAACTGTACGTTCCAGGTTTCCAATCCAGGAAAGAAAACATGTTATCATTTCCTGTAGCTGCTGCACAGTATGGAGGGAAAGCTCTGATGTCCCTCCCACCAACACGTTTGTGAGTTTGAAAGGCCTTTGGTGAAATGTAAAAACAAAAATCCCGCATGTTTGTTCAGCTCCCACCACCACATCACCACCAGCTGCAGCATCAATCCCTCACCCTGCCTCCCAGCTTCCATTATCATTTTAATAGCTCCTGTTTTCCATGTGATTGATGTTCAACCTGCAGTCTTACACCAGTGCATCTGTCAGGCTTTGCATCATTTCTGTACGCATACATGTGTGAACATGGCAGATGTATGTCTGTGTGTGGGTTATGGATAACGCTTACTCAGGCTTCATTGTAAGATCACAGCTAATTCTAGGCTCTCAATGAGCTCCCACCCATTATTTGTTGCCAATGGAAGCTGTGTGTTTATGAGGCAGGTATCGAAAACAAATATAGTCCTGCAGCTCTGATTCCACTAAATGAAAACGTACATAACAGAATGTATTGCCCTCTAAATAACTGTAGTAATTACGGAATAGATCTTTCTAGGATTTTTTATTTATTTATTTTTCTTTGTCTGTGAACTATCAGGTTTGATAGGAGGTTTACTAAACCTTCTGGCAAAAAAAAGCTATTGAGAACAGCTCTTGGATGATATTTAGTCTACTGTAACAAAATAACCCTCTGAAATATGACTGCAAATTATCTTCTGGGTTTGTAAACTATAAAATATAACGTGTAGGCAACGTTTATTGGCACCTCTGGTAAAGATGGGTTTAAAGAATTTAAATATATTCATAATCATGCATGTTTCAGCATCATGCCCTGAAACACTAATCAAGTCAAACATTGAGTACATTTATTCAACAAGGAAAGACATTCCAATATAAAGATATATATTTAGCAAAATGTAAGATTACACAACTAGTGGTAACCTTGCTGTTAATACTTCCCCACTAGTAGAGCTCTCACTGTTCTCACAGAACACTTCAAAATGTTAAAGCATTCAGAGATGAACCTTTGGAGTTTGAGTCATAGATTGAAGTAAAAGATGATTTAGTTGTATATTTGTTGAACTACGTTTGGGTTGAATTTTCCATTTTTTGTGGATCATTATTCTGATTTGGTATAAGCTACCAGATTTCTAAGAATCCATGGACTCAAGATTCCCTTACCTTTTGAAGTAGCAGGGCCACAGCATGTCAGATCTCCCACTATATTAAATATGAACATGACAAGAAAAGATACATGTGGGTTGTCATCCAGGCTAGTGGCCAGACCCAGAAAGAAACAGGCCTCTGTTTTATGTCATATACCCAAGACAATCAAAAGTAGCAGACTACGTATTATAAGTTCTTAAAAGCAAACAAGGAAAGTCTGAATATAAAAAACTGTTTCAGTTTTATCTGTCTGAAAGAGATTTTTAGGGATATAAATAGTTATCCATTTCAGTTTCGCTAAAATATTCAAAACTGCAATGAGAGATTCCCTCATTTCAATGCTTTTACAATTCTTAACCAGAGGTCCCAGCAAATGTGGGCAGCACTGTTCATAAAAATGTATGAACAGTGGCAATCAACTGCAAATATGTATTCACATTAATCATCATCCTATAATTTGTGGGTCTTATTGAGCTGTGACTCTGAGATGATTGACAGGAAACAAGCCCTCAACAGTTCACACAGTGGAAAGGTTACAAAGCTCCTTTAGGAGGGCAAATTAACATGTGGAATGGCACAAGATGAAGCACAAAAAACAAAACCATGCAGAATATTGTTTGTCTTTGATGAAATTGAAGAATCCAAACATTCAAGCTGATATAAAACTCAGATAAAGTACAAATGTTTATTTTTATTTGTCTGTTCACGCACATAATCTGAAAAAATGATGTGGCAATTACTACAACAATAGCATGCATTTTTTAGTGGTATGTCTGACAAATCTAGAAAAATAAACAGTCTTCTGTCAAATGTTAGCTTTTTTTTTCCCCATAGGAAACCTCTCACTGTGTGTCTCCATGACCTCTGATTCCATACTTTTGCAAGAAGTTGTACGATTTGGTGCCATAATTGTGTTTGTTTTGGTTTGTTCTTTTGCTGCCATTACTGAGTGTGAATTTTTTCGCCCTTGGTTTTGCAAAATTTAAAAGAGGGAGACAATTTGTAGCGAACAACTTCCCAAATCTGGAGTCTGAAAATAAGCCAGTTAAAAGTTTTAACGACCAGAACAATAAAGGGGTTTTATGGATGTTACTTCTTCTTTATCTTCTGTGAACCTGAAAGCTCCAAAGCTGCTGTCTCAACTGAATTTGGGGGAAAATAAAATGTGTCTTTATTTCCCCCATTTGGGGACAATAAAAAATATTTCTAACCTCAAAGTGATTGCTAATATTACTTCAAAATCATTTCCTTCTGCTCCGACTTTTACTTCTATGGTTTCCATTAGGGGAAAACAGAAACAGAGCATCCTACTGTCTTCTTTTATACTCTGCCTGTGGTCCAAGCTTGACGTGTCTGTGACCCTGAACCCCTGTTACTTATCAACTAATAGTCACAAACTAAAACCCTTACTGTGACACAACACAAAGAAACGCAGTTTTGATGTCATTTCAACCAACCTGTGCTTGTTGATTCAGCCAGCTGTTCTTTTCTTCTTCGTCTCACTTCTTTGTTCCACCTCTGTTTGGTCTAGGTGTTTTGGTGAAGACACATGTATCACGATCCCCAGCATCGAGGCAGTGGTGATGGTGCTGCAGCCCAGTGAGCCCAGGATCACCATCAGTGGGGTGGAGAGACTCAGCCAGTCGGCCTCTGACTTCAGAGCAGCGGGAGGCATCTCTCTATTTCAGGACCTCCACATTATCAGCACAGTCACCAGGGCAGACACCGCCCCCCGTCACACAGGTAGGACCTTTACACACACCAGTGGGAATAACCGGTGAAGATTTTTCTGATTTCTTAAGGTTACATTTCCTATGTTGTAAGCCCCTGAAGTCCATATTGTCAACACAAGCATTCCAATCTCTCATTCTCATCCAACAGGGAAGAAGGTCTAACAATCTCACAAAGTTTTTAGATTGACTATGTACCTCCCTCTAGGTGGAAGTCTGTCTTGGGTAAATATTTCAGCAAGTGTTTTTCATATTCATTGTGTGTTCACTCATTCATGAAGCCCACCAGCACATTCACACATCACCTGTCTCGCTAAGCAAAGCTTCAGAGAAAGCTAAACATTTCATAACACCTCTTGAGACCGTGGATAAGCAGATGCTGCTTTCATCTGCCGCATCTGCACAATCCGTCAAGTAAAAGCATCAAACCATCGTGCTCTCACTCTCACAATGGCAAATTCTCCAACTTGGGATATAAGTTTTTTTTTTTTTTTTTTTTCTTAAATATGTAATTAGGATAGTCCTGCATCGTAAATTGTTTCACAAAAACAGTTACCGTCTGTTCATGTATGATACTTTGTAAAAATATTCACACCCTTGAACTTTTCCGCATTATACCACATACACAAACTTTAATGTTTTTTAGTAAACCTTTTAGTGTAATAGACCAGACTGCATGTTTTTTGAGATGAGGAAAAAATACAGTCATGGATTACATGGCTTTGTGATCCAAAGTCAAAGTCGTGACTTTGACTTTGTTTCACTTCCAGATACATGATATTTGAAAATATAATGTGAAATGTTTGGTATGCTTTCATATTTAGACCCACTGAGTTAATATAAAATCAACTTTGGCTTTGGAGATGTGTAACTATCAGTTTAGTATATCTAGAGACAAAATGTTCTGCTAGTTGTTTGCAGAATAACTCAAACTCAGATTGTCTGGAGAGAGAGATCCTGTTATCTAGGAGCACTATAAGACAATTATAACTTTGAATATTATGTTCTAACCAAACCCAACTGTAAACTTCTTCATAACTTTCTCACTGACTTTTCTGCTATGATCCTTGGTCTCCATGATGCCAGTTGTTCTCTATTGTTCTCTGTTGTCCTCTTGGGCCTTTAGAGAACAGATGGATTTATGCTGAGATTATGTTTTTGTAAATATACCTTTACTTTTTAAAATGTACGGGTGGAAGTTATTACCATAAGTAGTTGTTGTTGTAAACTTTACCCCAAATATGATGATCCATTCCTCAGTATTGGACCCAGCAAATTGGTTATTATAATGCAAATATTAACAAAATAATGGATATGTGATTGGAAAGAAGTGGAAAATGGAAAGAAGTATAACTTATTTAATTCCGTCTCTTCTGCAAGTCAAACATGATTAACCCAAAACAATTTATCTCCTGTTCAAGTCCCACTGCGATCGCTCCCAGATGCTTAAACCTGCATAAAATGGAAACACAATGACATCCAAACACAAGTCTGAGAGAGCTGTAAACTAAACAATGCCCCTTTAAGGGTGAGCAGCTCTTCTCAGCAGCAGTAGCTGCAGTGAAAGCGAGAGCCTTTTGTTCTGATTACTCCCCACCATGTTGAGTCGTTCACCTGCAGCAGAGTCCATCCCCCTCTACACCAGACTGCTGGTATTAGTCCCTCCAGTTCCTCTTTATCACTCAGCGACCGCAGACCTCCTGCTGCTAAATGCGGCCTGTACCTGCCCAAGGGCTGATTCTTTCTGTTGCAATGCCTTGACTGGTGGCAAACGAGTGCGACTGTTAAATCTCACCAGCTCCTGTTCTGTCCAACGATCAGACCACAGAGGCAAGAAACCGCCCGCCTCGCCTCGCAGCCCTGCCGCTGGCAGTCAATTAGGAACAGATAAGCGGGGCGGGAGGGAAATTTTATCCCTCCATTGTGCGTAATGTGTGAAGGAAGAGGAGCGGAAAGTGGCATTGCTTTCAGGGAGTCAGAGGAACTCTTTTTGCAAGTGAAATGGAAGCTACGGCTGGGAGGAAAAGATTAGCAGCAAATCAGAGAATGGAAAGAATGGAAGACGGATGGATGGGAAGAGTTTATAGGAATTTGTCAGGGAGGAGTTACATTAAAGTGTCACAATGGGTAGATTCTGTGCTCTGTCAAAGCCTAAAGGATTTAAGATAAACCGTGGATCTCTTTTGCAAGACATCCTATAAGTTTCTTTCTTGCAGAAGTTTATGACACTTTCCTCTTTGCCATTGGTTTGTCTTCTACTTGACCTGACACAGCACTTCCTTGCATCTTCCTCCCAATAATTCCCCAAGATGTCTTTTTCCAAACTGATTCAGATGATTCTGAAAGTCACAATCTTTTGTGCTTAATACTTTGGCACTTTTTCCTCAGCTATCTGTCTTTTCTCAAATGTCCTGCTTTGCTATAGAGGTCACTGTTTCCTTTATCCTTTGGTATTCAGCTGCTCTCTCAGGCTTTTTTTATCTGAACTCTTCTTTTGTGTGATCCTTTCTACAATCAGCTTTATATTATGCTAGATTTCACTGTTAAAGGGTGTGTGGAAGATGGAGTTGTGTCCTGTTGGAATTTTGATTGACCAAGTTTATTTTGTTTCACTTTTTTTCATTAAAGGGATAATTGTTGGGTGTAATGATGCATATTTTTGCCTCAACATCCCCAGCATTATATTTTGTTAGATTACATTATTTGCTGCCTTGAGACTCTGTCTAAATGGCTAAATATTGCATTAGCATGAGAAATGCAAGTTCATAACCTTTGGGCTATTTTAGCCAACAATTATTGCATCCCACATATTAGCAATATAGATATTGCACACACTAATAACGTACTTCTAATAATGTAATTCTGAAGTGTAAAGCTTTATGAAGCATAAAGTTGCATAACATATTATGCAACTTTAGTGAGTATACATACCTGGACTTTTATGTCTGATTGTGACCTTTTGTGGACTATTCCATAATAAATTCAAAAGATGTTGTCTAATCTCTCCACTTTTGAAACATGGTGCAAAACAATCTTTAAAATTCCTAACTGAATATTTTTCACCAACGTTTTAAAGAAACAATTTATAGCAAAGGTATCTGGCAGTGGCACTTATCTCTTCTGCTTAAGTGCCAGGCAGTCAGACTGTACCATGATGTTTCTGTTTGCAAAGCTCATCAACCTGGCATCCTGGAGGAGATCATTCATAACTTGGACTACTGTGACATCCTTGTGTTGGGGGAGGAGCTAAACCCAAAACAAGAATCTCTCCAGCTGCAGCTGAGCTCGCTTCTGGGAAAACACCTCGATGCAACTAACTCCACGTCCGGCATGTCCATATATGGTAGGTGACCGACATCAAAAACACTCTGTCATGTCTGTTGCATATATAGAATATCTGTAGTAATAACACCTCTACTGTCCCTGTCCACAGGTGTGGACTCCATGACAAACTATGAGCATGTGATCAGACAGGTGCATTACTACCACCTGCAGCCCGGACAGCTGACAGAAAGGAGGTTTCGCCTGACCTGCTCAGAGCTCAATGGCCGCTACACCAGCAACGAGTTTACCCTTGAGGTCAGCCGTCCAGCAGCTTAATAGAGTTTTCTATTTATATTATTTTTGTTTTCTTTGTAGCTTGTTAGACTTTTTATTGTTTATATGCTTTTCACCTGCCGTTGTTGTGCCCCTGTGGGTCATTTGGACTTGAAATCATCAATTTGTTGATAGCAGAAGGCAATAACAAGCAGCAGAAATGGCATTCATAGTTTGAATCTAATTTGACATAAATACGACTAAATGTTTGCTTTAGGTCTAAATGAAAATAGTCTCAGAAATGAAGCTGCTCACAGCAGACATTTTGAGGACTACAATGAGGATTTTAAGAGGACTGCTTCATTTTCTGCTTCTTTTGAATCTCTATCACTGAGGCAAAAAGGGTGCAAGTCTGAATGGCTCACTGCAATATAATAGGCTCAGTAATGGCAGATACACAAACATCAAATAGAACATGGACATGACTTTCACTGGCTGCAGCCAAACAGATTTTGAGCATTACTGCTGTTTGGCATTTGCAAAAATAAGAAACCAAATAGTTGTTTTCTCTTTTCATCACATTGTTTGACATCTGCAACTATGCCAGAAAGCAAAACAGGTCAATATTAGATGATTTGTCGGCACAAGTAATTCTTAATCAAAATAAAATGTGTCATGTCCAAACCAGCATTATTACAATTTTACTGAGTGCTTTGGTTTTAGCCACCATATAAGGATACTAACATGTAGTCCCTGTGGATAAGTCAAGCACCACAATACATACGTGTATTGTGGTGCACATGCAGAGAACGGAAAACTAAAATAACATTCTCACACAGAGCACTGTCTGCAACCTTCACTATGTTTCTATCAGTGGTTGCCATGTTGGAAATAAACCTTGGAGCTGCTTGGAGAGGTCTGACTTTTCCATTTCAGGGGCCATTCACCTTGTAATTTGAACTTGGGAACTCAGGAAGGGAAAATTTTCCAAGTAAAAACAAAATACATCATAAACCATCTATAAGGATTCCTCCCACCATGGTGACCTTCACTCACTGTTTTCACTGATGCTTGAGATACTGCATCAAGGCTGTTGATATATTCCTGATTCACCCACTTATGTTTTCTTAGGAGATCACAGCTTCTTGCAAATTAAACTGTTAATGATCAATATGTGAACCAAATTACAGGAGTTCTAAATCAAGCCATTCGTTCTGAGTTTTTAACTTTTCGTCATTGAAAATAAACATTGAAATCCATACATTTTCTCATGACATGATATAGTCAAGGAAACTTTATGGTGAAAAAGTATTATCCTAAATTTGAAATAGTAAATGTAAAATTAATAGTAAAGGCAAATCCTCACATGTGTCACTGTTCTTGCAAACTGCACTAAAGGGCACCCGCACCATTTTCTTTGTCACATAAACTGGGCAAAACGGCAGTTCAAGAGAAAATGAGTTTGTTGCACATGAACACATTCAACAGAAGTTAGACAGCTGTTTCACATTATAAAGAAAGGAAACAGAGCATCAACTTGAATTTCTTTTTCCCCTGAAGCATTCTCACCAGGTCAAGATCAAATGTATTTATATAACACGTTTTCAAAAACTCAAGGTGCACAAAATGATGCACTTAGGCACTTAAGCAGCCTTTTCTAGCAGCAAAAACATTTGCACATGATAGCTGCTGAATCTTTCCTGATGAGTGAGTCACTGTTTGTCTTCCTGACTGGAACAAAAATTCACTTTCTTCTTGTTTACCTGGAGGAAACTTCTGTTTGGGTTGAATGGTTTAAAAATTTAAAGCCAGGAATCCTGATTCAACCCGATTTTGTTTGTCCTTCCACCAGGTGAGCGTCTGGCACAGCTCAGAAACAGAGGAACACATCAGTCACATGGCGGCCCCTCCTCAGTACATGCAGGTGGTCCACCACCCATCCATGATCAGCGACCTTTACCCCAACCATGCTTCAGGTAAGAAAGCACATTTGTAAGATTTCAGTACCAAACAGCACAGCAAGCGTCGCTTGCAGCACACAGAGTTCAGTTTTGTTCCGACCACAAATTTCTATGTATTTTATCGGGATTCGTGTGAGCAACACAAAGCATTGCATTGCTATGCAATGGGGGGTAAGCCACATGACAGCTGATGGCTTGATTTTCTCAATCTTCAGGAAATTGAAATTGAAGTAATACTTCAATAAAAAGGCAAATAAATCAAAAATCATATGTTATTTGTTGTGGAGTAAAAATGTAGAGATCCAAGAGAATGCTCAATTCCTTTTTCTAAGTTTGTTTATGACTCTGTTGCTCAAGGGGCTGCTCTCTAATGCCACTCTTGCTCTTCCCTCTGAGCAGCCGAGTGATCTGAGGTAAAAAGAGTGCGGGTTGGCGGAGGGGAGCCGGTCTTAATCTACCACATGTGATTTAATTATTCATCAGAATCTAATGGATTCTACTTAGAGTCCTGGAGAGTTCAGTGACTGAGGCTGTTAACGGAGCAGATAGCTTGCGTATGTGTGTGTGTGTGTGTGTGGGTGTGTGTGTGTGTGTGTGTGGGGGGGGGGGGGGGGGGGGGCGTGTGTGTGTGTGTGTGTGTGTGTGTGTGTGTGTGTCCGTGGAAGGAGGTCAGAAGAACAAAGAGGGCAGTGAGCGGCTGAGCAATCAGAGTATGTCAAAAAACTAAATACTCAACAAAGAGAGATTCCCAACTCTTTAGGCACATGTGCCTGCAGCTGTAGACTTGCCGTATGTTGAGTACTTGTAGGGGTGGTGATGCACTTGTGCGAACGAAGACTTTCGGGTTACTGCATGAAGCGCTACTCAGAAGATCAAAGTCCCTGAATTTGGTGTGAAAATCTACAAACTAGACTGAATCAAATGATCAGTTGAAGAGTGCTCTACGAGCCGTAGCCTCATTAACCGCACGCTTCCACTCACCAGGAAGGACTGCTGGAGAGAGGGCCGGCACAGAGCAGTCACGCATCTTTCAGGCGGCTGGAGATCAGAGTGAACCAAATAAACAACTTCAGTACCAGAGCCATGCTTCAGCATGTGCTGCAATATTATCATGTGCCTTTGTAGCCTTCCGTCACAGGCTTTCCATAAGTAGAGATAAGTCTAATGTAGATTAAATATGACTTCTTTTTTTTTCGTATGAGGCAAGAAGCTTCTCTTCTAGATAATAAATCCATTTGCAGTGTTTAGATTTGGGTACAGCCTGATCTGCTGTAACAAGTTTTTTTTTTTTTTTTTTTTACAGGATGTAAAAATACTGTCTAAATAGAATCTGCTCTATTTTCAGAATAAAATGTTTTGCACTGAGTTATTCATCATGTTACCTCATTAACAGAAAACATGGAGAGTTGTACTGGCATGCTCACCGTGAGGACTGTACACACTTCATTCAGAATGTTTAATTCTAGACTTTAACCTTAAAATCTGATTCAACAAGCTTGTCTAAAAGGGTTATTAGTATTAGTATGTATGCGATATTGCATATTTTGGTATTGATCTAATATCAATTGAATACAAGGACGGTATCGCCAATGCCACTAACAATATTTTTAGTTTCAGCCTGACAATCATCAAACTTCTGCCTTTTAGGTGCTTTTTGTTTTCTTTTGTTTTTCCTTCAGTTGTTTTGTTCAAATATAAGATAGAATGTAGACTTTAATAACATGCTGATATATTAAAAATTAACTATATAAAAAGTAAAAAATTAAATAAACATTTGCAAAGTGCAAAATAATATGATACGACAGCAAATTAAAGCGATTTGAGTTGTTATCAATCTTTTTACGTGCTCTTCACATTTAAGTGCTATCTTGTCTTTCACATGAAATCCCAAAATAATACATTGTTTACATTATGTTGTATGTCTCTCTGAGCTTTTTCACTGATATTCATCTCATAATGTCTATAATGAGAGTCAACCAAAGCAGTAAAAGTCAGGATTAGGGGGCAGTTTGAGCCCAGGTGGGAAACGTGAGGCTCTATTAAGGTTTTCTTATGATTCATTTACCGTCACTCTTCATTTCAGGCATGGATTAAAAAAAAAAAAAAATAGAAGTACCTGCTTGTGCTACTTACAGTTTAGACATGAATAATTAGAGGGAGAGAATATTGATTACTAAAGATTCACACACCAACCCAATTCTGACAAGAGCAATAAATGTTTTAATTATAAAGCAAAACATAAGATTAGTTTTGACAGATTTTTTACAGGAAAAGCCTAAAATTTACTGGACAAAAAAGTAGAGAAGAAAATCTAAATTATTAAAGAAGCCCATTCTGACATATAAAGATCTAATCCGATTTAGGGAGCCGATTAACAGTCACAGAGTAATGGCTGCATAACCTGAAACAAAATATATTAAGAGAAGAGGTGTGGACTCAAGTCACAAATTTAATGACTCAAGAGACAACTTGATAAAAAAAAAAACCATTAAACCCTTTGGGCTTGAGTTGGATTTTCACACATGTGACTTATTATTTATTTCGAGATTGAACTGTTATACTCGTCCCGCTATCCGGTTCTGACCATTTGTTAGTGTTTCCTCATCCTGCATACTGTTGTTTACCTGCTTTTCTTCTGCACCCTATGATGAAGCAGAGACACTTACAGTGTGGAAAGGTTCTGTAATTAATATGTCACTAATAAAGAGGATCATCTATCACATTTTTTTTAGAATCCGTTAAGGAAAGCTTTATTAATTGCCAGGCAGTTTAGGGTAATTTACTGTAACCCCATATAACACTAGACAGAAAAATACTATTCTAAATAATGAGTATGAATATTAGTTTGCTAAACATGTAGACTGCTAACCACAGTAAAGAGGCAACAACTGCTGATGTCTCTCTACAACATCAGGAGTTGTAGAGAAACCTTTCACTTAATGAGTGAAAGGTCATAAAGTGACTGACGTATGGGTAACGTTTTCTTAACAACTTCTAATCATGGAGCCTGGAAAGGTTCTAACTTAGATGCAAACCCAAAAGACAGTAGCAGATTGGCTTCTAAATCAGATGTTTAACCCTCTACCTGCTAACCTTGTAATACCAAAACCACAAAGTAGCATATTACTTTTCATATTAAAATTGAATGATCTGACTTTTTCAAGGCATTTTAAATGGTCCAGTTCCAAACTTTTCACCCCCACAAAATAATGTTTTGCCACGTCCATATGTGGTACTAAATTGGATCCGTTTGAAATTGTTTCAAAGCATCTATAGACTGAATGGTCATGTTGCATTTTGTCTGACTTCAACGGCATTGACATGAGCCATGCGTCATAACTCTGCACAAGAAGAAGTCAAATGGTAAATACAGATGTAAACACTAACTGAAAATTACAACAGGAGTTGCAGTTGTTGCTCTGCAGAAGACTGTCACCATTTATTGTGCTGTATTTTTATTATTTTCATATTGTTGGCTTCCATTCCTGAAAAACCTTAAATTGATCCACAGAGGGGGGACATCCGTCATTGCTTCCACTGCTGTGGGACATCAATGTTCTTCTTCATAAACTTGAAGTTTATGACTTGGAGTTGACCCAGAACTTGCATGGGTCAACTCCCATGGACTTTGGACTTTGGACTCAGCTCAGAACCTCCAAGTGTTAACTTGGTATTTGTTTCAAGAATTTGAGGGATGGCAGAGGGAGAGAACTTGAGACTTGTGTCTTGATTCTCTGTGTTGTTAATTACTCATAAAAATCTCCTACTAAGCTACTATTCTTCTTGACTAACGGCAAAATAAATCCAGACTAAATGATGCCCAGCTATAACAGAGAAACATGCTGCTTCTGCATTCCATCAACCTCATCTGGTTCCTCTCCTTCTGTCCTCAGGTGTTCCCAGCGCTGCCACAGTGGTGATCGTCATGTGCATCGCCGCCCTGGTGGTGGTGGTGGTGCTGGGCATATACCACATCCACATGACCCACCAGCAGGAGGTGAAGCAGGGGGAAACGGCTAGGGAGGCGGACACAAACTGGGACGACTCTGCTCTGACGATTACAGTCAACCCCATGGAGGTAGGAGTGGAGAGAGTGTTGGTGATCAGAATGTCTGCAAGATAAATAAGACTGTCTCCAGTGTTCTAGCTGTAAGTTAGTGAAATCTAACTCCAGCATAAGTCCTACGTGAGCCAAGATGCTCCAATCAGAGATTCTTCAGTTTTTATCAAATTTTGACCTGCTGATTTAAGTTTGGACAATTTTGATTTACAATGCATAAAATATCTATTTGAAGCCTTCCATCAGTAAGTTTAGGGCTGAAACGATTGCTCGAGTGATTCGAGTACATCAATTATTAAAATAAAACACATGAATGAACAATGCAATAAAAAAAAGAAGGAGCATCAAAGATTTATGCAGGGTATCTGGGCTACAAAGTACAATTCCTCTGTTTGATTATGAATGCGCAAACCTGAAGCTTTGCAATGCAAAATCAATAAATTAAATGAGACTTGATAAAAATGAGGAAAAAAAAGTTATTTGATCAAAACCCAGCTGCCTGGTTCTACTTTGGCAAGCGGTTGTGAAGCATGCAAGCATGCCGCAACAGTTTGGCAGAGCTTTTTTTGGCTGACAAGAAAGCACCCCTTCTGTTTGTCTTGGGAGTCTTACTCCACAAAAATGTAAAACTCAATCACATTTCATGTGTCTGACAAACAGAGGTCTTCAACGTCACATCAGGACTTCTTTTTAATTGCTGTCCTACCCGCTTCGATCTGTGAAGTACATCTTTTCTGACATGTGTGACAAATACAACACAAACCCGGATATTTACACACACTGTATCAAGTGACACATGAACTTTAATTCAGACTGAATTTTTTACATTTTAGGCAAGTTAGGATTGCAAAATGCAAGAATTATAAGCACAACATTTTTCAGAAGAGTTTTCTGTTTTTAAATTCTGAAGTTCTGATTTATTGATTTAGAACAACTGCACTGCTTGAGTCAAATTATGCAAAAATAAAATGACATCAAAAAATATCAGGGGGGAAGGGGGGAGAAATAGTCAGTTCTAAGAAAAGCAATAAAGGAGCAGGATATTAATTTTGACATTTACTTTGATCCAATGAAACTAAAATTGTGTTTTTTGGCCATAATGACCATTTGAAGAAAAAAGCCTGAGAGCACCATTTCAATGGTGAGGTACGGAGGTGGCAGCATCATGATACGTGGGTCTTCGCTACAATAGATGCCATCATCATAAGGACAGAAACGTATCTGGTTAAAAATAATAAGGTCCATGTTTTCAAAGAACAGTTATGTGTAAGCAATTGGAATGAGTCACAAATCTAGCAAAGTATTCTGACCCAAATTTTATAGGTAAAAAAGTAAGTTTTGTGTTCTTTAATCTGGGACGATAAGACAAATAAGGTTGTATTTTTGTCACCACAGAATTTGAAGAACCACACAGCAGGGGAGGAAGAGGCCAGTGAGGAGGAAGAGGAAGAAGAGGAGGAGGAAGATGATGAGGATGAGGAGGACGAAGAGGTCACCAGCGATGAATCAGATGACAGTGAGGAGGAAGTGGATGTCCAGCTACCCAGGATGCAACGCTCAAGTGAGAAGCCCCAAAGATGGGACAAACCAACAATATGCTATTGAAAACACACATTCACACACACATTCTCTCACTCCCACACACACACAGACGCACACGCATTCTGTAACACATCCTCGATGAAATCCCACATCAGATGGCTGTAAACAACAACAAAAAGGGACTTCACGTGCTTGAAAAATAAAGTATTGTTGCCCCCTAGTGGAAGATTGTATGAAAACACCAACAAATGCAGATCAGAGAAACAATGGGGCGCTAGAACTGCTTCTCAAACAACAAAGCTCCACAAATCTGGGTCATTCTCGGAGAGATGATAGCTCCCCCTCATTTCTACTGTCTTCTGTGAGAACAAGTTGTAAGAAACCCATTTTTTTGTCGACTCGGTCCCATCTATCCAGTTTGATGTGTAAAATTCCACAGTAAGATTTCTGATGTCCCCACATTAAAAATGCAAAACAGCCTTTATTTAAGAAAAAAATGAGTTGCAAAAGTAAAGAAAATGACACTATATTTTGGTTTGTATACTTATTATTTATCTGTCTTTATTCTAGCCAATATGGCAAAGCCAGGTGATTTTACAGAAAAAACATATTTTCAATGGTATTTTAAAAAAACAAAGAAAAAAAAAAGATCAATGTGCTGTTTCAGATGTCATGTCGAATTAGCAGCCAGCTCTACGTTCTGGATTTTTGAGAATAGAAGAGGAGTCTCCTTGTACATTTTTATACGCTCTCTTCTTGTAAATATCAAGTATAGTAAGTGACACCCCTCCTCATCCTTCTCCTTTACCACCGTCCTGAAATGTTCAACAACCCTCCTATCTTCACCTGTACACAGCACACGTCACCTGTTCATATGTACGGACGCACTCTGATCCCTTAGCCTGCAAGAATACAACCCAAAGGCTGCTTTTTTTCCCCCAATCAAACTGGTTCCAAGACTAACTGGGATCCACAGCAGAATTTCTTCATGTTTGAAATGGTGAAGCATCTCAAAACCTCTTTACTGGCCCAAGATGAAGAGACCTCAGAGAAACAAGTGAATTAAAGTGATCATTTTGTCTGAAAGTTTTTTCTCACGTCTCCTTAATTCAAGATAAAAAGCAACAAAACACCAAGCGTCACCATGTTTAAGAAATCAGATTCACACTAGAATGACACAATATTATCTATCCTCTTCATGCTGTCTTAGTATCTGTCTTAGTAAGTAATGTGTGTCAAGGCTTTGCAATAAGTATCGCAAATTTAAATCCCATTTCACTCAGTGCCATTTACATGTTGATATAAATAAATTGTCACCAACTGGTCTTTACAAATCCTGCTTTATGCAGAATGCTAAGGCAATTTATACTTTTTATGGTTTAGCTCAAGGACAAGGCCATTGCAGCTGACATTGATGTTAATTCAAATGTAAGTGCGACTGCCTATGTAGGTTCTGCAGTTTTGTTGTACTAGTCAAGAATTTTCAAGATGTCGTTTTACAAAATGTTCTCTCAAAAATACATATTATGGCTGCCATTAAAATGTAATCTTACAGCTGTGAGTCTTCTTGAATTATATTAGGCGACATCCCAAACTATAGGATTTGAAATTGACGGTTGAAGCTGTCTTTAGACTCACAATAGAGACAGAGGTTGAAAGGTCAGAGGTTAAAGAAATGATCAACTTAAGCCTTGCTGATATCTGCTGAAGTTGTCTCTATTTTCCATTTCAAAAAAGATTCCACTGAGGTACAAATGACATCCAGTAGTCGGCAGCTCCGGTTTTTACATCCCCCCAAAAATTGGGTTTGATTCCTAAAACTGATTAAATACAAGACATCAAAAGAAGGGAAACAACCAGCAGTTGTTGTTGTTGATAAAGTTTGAAGAAAAAACTTGGAAATGTCAGCTGAACATAGAGTTGCCCTTTTAATAGCTTCTTACTGATTATTTTGCTGCCCGTTACGTTTATCTAACACCTCACCGATTCTTAAAATAGCTAACTCTGAGTCTTCTTTCCATTAACTTCCATTTGAGATCAGCATGATCAAGGAATAATTATGTGATCCAGTAACTGATTATAAAGGATATAACATTTTGAGTAGAATTGTTTGGTTTTAAAACAACTTTACTTGTATGTTTTAAGCTGCTGTTGACATTTAAGTCAGTCTTGTGAAAAAACTTTACGACCTTGAATTGTTTTGTTAGTTTTGACTCTTGTTTATGAACCGAAGATCTGCAGCTGTAGTATGACACCTTGTGGCCATACAAATAATTGTCCAATTGAAGAATCCTATTTCACTACACATTTCCTCACCAATTGACAAACTTAAATACAAACGTATAACACATGAAATTAAGTTGTAGCTGCAATAAGATGACACCAGAGAGAGAAATTCTAAACTTGTCAAGTAACTGTTCTATGTCTTACACGTTTATCAAATCAACTGCATATTATCCAAAGTAATTAAAAGTCAATTTGGTCATTTAAACACATGGTTGCCATTTTATTGTGTGCTATTTTTATAAATATTTGCAGTAGGTCTATAAATATGCTTCAGGAGAACATAATCCGAGTGCTTTTGCCGCCATTTAAATCTAAAAAATTGAGAAATAGTCCGGTGCAGCTGTGGAAGAAGTGAGAACAAAATGAATACATGACTCACTTTTCACTTGCTTAAAGGTCTCAGATAGAAGTTTTTTCATATCAAAGTGAAAGGACATTAATCTATGACTGTGGCCATCCTGATTTAGTCTGGTTGTACCGTTTGATAGCAGAGAAACCAGTTTGAGGACAAATCAAAGTTTTTTTTTTTTGCTGGAAAGCGGCCTCTGGTGAGCCTCCAGTTCTTCTCTTGAGGGCAAATCTACTCTATGTGTGTACCGTAAGCTCTATTGTATCTCCATGTAAAGCTCTCATATGTTGTTTAGGAATTTTCCTCATCTGCCTTGAAACCTGGTCTTGTGATATCACCTTCCCTCCCGCACCCCCAATTTAAAACTTTGGTGGATTTTGCATCGGCCCGATCCCCAGTGTTGTCCTGACGTTTGTTTTAGAAGAGGACATTGGAATTAACATTGAAACCTTGTATAACGTGTACATTTTATTTATTATTTTTTTGGTTTTGGTTTTTGGACTCTTTGTTCTGTTTTACTTTGGAATGGTCACTACAGCACTTTCTGTAAATTGGCCAATAAAAACTTCTTTTTGAATCAAGCTGTGGGAGCTTTTTTCTGGTGTGTGCAGTGAGTGAGTTATTGTAATAGTTGCTTTATGGAGTATAATTAGTGCTCAAATTTCAATGTGTACTCTTTAAAGCCTGGCTACAAATGACATAATAGCATTAGTAGTTTTTTTTTTGTTTTGTTTTTTTTTTGCCTGCTATCTTACCAGTACACTTTTACACCTAAATATAGCAATAATTTTCATGTTCAAGCTGCTGAGAAGGAGTTATTGTGTTTAGGCCAATGGAATAGAAAACATCTATTTCAAAATATTAGAAAATCATTTGGATGTTTTACAAAGTGCTTTGCTTTGTTTGTTTTGAGCAACTGAAAGTGAAAACACAATCAAATTGCAGTTCTTAAAATCACAACTTTAAGACATGGATGTCTTTAACTTGGTGATGTTGACCTGCATAATTAAAGAACTATAGATATGAACAGGAGTTTGTAGTTGAGTTTAGACAGGGACTTAAATCTGGGTTATTTGAAATGTTTTTAATTAGGATTCTTTATTTTTGTATGCAAATTGAAAAGCTGCAAACTGGGAGCAGCGGGGCCAATGTTCCCAGCCTATAAACCTGGCTGCTCTCCCCATAGTAAGCAGTCTGGGTATTTTTGTTGGGTGTTTGTTTTAGTTCTGGCTGACTGGCTTTCCTTTCACTGCAGCAGGCAGTTTTGTTATTAGCTTGGGATTGCCAAACTAATCACACACACCTTCTTAATGAATTCAGGAAGGTGGATTTTTGCTCCCAGCACCAGACAGAACTTTTGGCAACGTGAAACTATTAAAGCAAACACTGGTTTTATAGAACATCTTGGGGCCAACACAGTTAAGAAAGGGGTATATTGAACACTGACATTTATTTGAATGAACACTGATGTGATTGTCAGTGTTCATCGTTCCAGTAAGCAAAGCACTTTGTAAAACATCCAAAATGCTCTCGTTTTGTTGAACAATAAATATATTATTTTCTTTTGTAGCCCATTAAGTGAATTATGAAGTAAAACTAATCTCTTTACAAAGGTAAAAAACATCACCAGTTCCATGTCTAGTGGGTTGACGCGCGTTCAACTAGATCAGCTCCTCGTGATTTGTGCACACTCCAGATGCAGGGTGAACAAATTACGTCACTGCATAACTACGGACATACAACACATAATGTGGTGAATGTGACGGCCCAAAGTTTCTATCATCTGGAAAATAATAACCTGCATCTGAGCCTTGACGTTTGATGGCAAATAGTAAATTTGGCCTCACTTAAATTAGCCTGGATGATCTCTATCCCGGCTTTTGTTTTGAAATGAATTCAGAAGTACAATTAGTAATTGTTTCAGTTCTGAAATTATTTCATATTTTGAAATTACCCATACAACCCGAATACATCGCCAGTGAAAACATGTAAAGTCCTTGAAGGATTTGAACCCAGCAACTTCTTGCTATGAGACAACTGTGTCACATGCAGCATCTAAAAAGTCTTATTTTAGAAATTTTATTCAAGAAGCAAAACTAATATGGCATTTACATAACATTGACATTCAAAAGAAGCTGAATTTTGTTTCCATTAGCTGTACTATTAGTCATCTTTTGCCAGAAACATATCCCTCCATGCAGAATAAATGAATATGATTTGTTAATTTACCTTTGCTGAACTGACTTTTTGAATCAAACAAACTTGTTAATGATACTCCAATTTACTATGTTTGGTCATAATGTGTAAGAAAACTGCTTAGAATCAAATGTACACATACAGTAAAGTGTATCATTATTCATCTCTTGAGCTTCAATGCTGGACTAACTTCCATCATTATCTAATGGAATGTTTCCATCTAGTGGTTAAAAAGTACAGTACAGAGTTTTAAAACACTTTCAATACCTCGCTCACATTTAAGCCGATCATAATTACACTGTTACAAAAAAGCCAAGGCGATCCTCCAACTCACTGTTGTGAAATAATTTGTAATTCTGTAACCTAGTGGTCATTTTCCTGCCTTCAAAGCTCACAGTAGAGAATTCTGCAACAAAGGCTGTGAAATCAGAGCATGACTGAGGCATCATGCCAGTGAAGGTTGACACATGAACTTGAATAATGAAGCTCAACTTGCCTCAAACAGAGCCTCATTCTTTATGTATTATTCATTATGCAGCTTTTCAGTCCGGTATATAGCCTTCACTGTAACCCTGAACAGAGAAGGAAATCTCTTTTGAACAAAGAGATGGACATATAATTTAACACAAGAAGTAGACTGAGAAAATTAAATCATGAGAAAATTAAATCATGACCAGATCAAACATTTTGAGCCAGAGGAAGGGTCAGGCTGATAGTTTAATGTACCAGCAGAGGGATCTCTGAGGTGTGCAGGGAATTTGAAAAATTTTTGAACTACTCCACTGTGGAAAATGTGAAGTTGATGAAGCACTGTTTGGATCCCACGGTGAGCGATGGCCTTCATGCCGGCCAGACAGTGTCCTGCAGTAAAACTCAAAGCAGAGAATGCTTCAAAACTACTAATGCTCTGTATTTTCTGACCCCATGCAAGGTGGGTATTGGTTGAGCTAAGGTTACTATGCCTGGAAAAGTGCTATATAAATCATTGTTACAAGAAAATGAATATGATTCAAATCTGGCTCACGTGATAATCAAATTATCCAGTAATAATTATGTCAATTTTTTTTTTTTTTTTCAATTTTAACCTTCTGGAAAATGATAGCATATCATTTGATAAATAATGTATATTGATTTACAATCATTATCACAATGTCAGGATGTGGCAAAATGACAGAGGGATACAATGTTTGGAAGGCTATATTCAGACTCAATTAAATTCTGCTTTCATATAATATATTTGGCCACTAACATTAGCTTTAACTGAACTTTATTCTCGTTACTAATAGAAATCTTTGAGAAAATTGGGAGTTGTATGTTTTGCACACCGTGAAGAAGAAACATTGCTGGTGGAACACAAACAGTACAGAGGGAAACATTCATTATTGGACCTGCTGCTTCTTCTTTAGTGTGGTTGGAGTGCCTTTTAGTTAATTTTAGTTGTATATATTGTTATTATTGTGTGTTTATTTTATTTATTGTGTATATTTGACTTTTTGCACGGGAGTTGCAATGGGAATTTTGTTGAATTCTGTTCAATGACAATAAATGCAATCTATCTATCTATCATTAGTCATCACAGAACTCTCTTTGCAAAATTAACAAATATTATAAAGTTATGCTTTTCTTAAATTGTGCGGCTCTATTTTGACACTAAGCTTTTGAATTCGAAGGAATCCATTTGTAATCAGTGCGTCTTTAGCAATGACTTGAAAAAGGTCTAAAATACAAGTTTCACCAGATTTCAGCATCATAAAATTTTTGATACTAATACATTTACAATACTAATTAATCTACATGAATGAACTAGTGCAGGTATGGCTTAGGCTGCTTTTTGTTTAATTTTATCTTATTAACTGATGATATGCATCTCTGGACTGCTAAATTATAGTTTAAAAACAACTTTTTAAAAATTTTTTATTATTCTTATCCTTAAGTTTTTAGCATGGCAGACAAATAAATTGGAGTGTGTGGAAACTCACTTTGAAGAAGGAGCACAAACCAGCACTTCACACAAATCCACAGTGGAGAACAGAAAATACTGTTCTGTGTAAACAGCCAAGAGCTTAACTTGATCCTCCAACATTATCATAATCTGTGAAAATCCTTCCAGTTCCTACTGAGGACATGTAGTACTGTCCTGCTTGGGAATGATCAGAGAGAGTTTTAGTAAATTATTAAAAGTGTGAACGAGATGCTGTTTGTCCATAGAAGTGAAAATATGGAAAAACACTTCCTACACAGCTGCAGATTCGGCTCTCATTATCAACTGATCTCTTTCGGTAATTGAATTACTCCTCTAATTTTTTTTTGGTTCACTTTTGTTGACTAAAACTCATAAATGAGTTAAAAGTCTTGTCCAAATTAACATAACAATTCAAAACAAAAAATAAAATACCACATTTTTGCAAAAGGACCATTAACTTTTCACTTGAAATGTCACCCAGTTACTGGTTACACATTTGGATGCTGTTTGTGGAATTTTGGATGTAGCTTCTCTTTGTTTGTACACCCTGAAAATAATATTCACTTTGCTTTTTGCAGCTGTAGTTAGACTCAAGTGAATCTCATTGCATTTTTTTTTCACGCTGGAACTTGAGGAAGATTCACAGATGCCAGAGGTACCAGATAGTTTAGGGTGGAACGCTTCCCTAGATGCAAGGTTTGATCATTCTAATTTTGAAATACAATGCCGAGCCAATGCTTGTGAGAAATCTCAAGAAAATGAAAGTAGAGACTATGAGTCTAGAATAATCAGATGCTGAGCGTTTGTGATGTATACTTCTTCCTCAGTTCTGCATGGGACACCACAGGAGAGTTAACTCCTCAGCACAAGGATTCGTTTATTCCCTGTTTTTAAAATATGCAGGGAAGTAATGTGGCTTGACAGACGACTAGAGGAAGCCATTTGCAGTTAGTTGTCACTGGTCTAACACACCTGAATCAAATGGCTGAATTACTTTCCCAGTATGAAGACAAGTTCTCCAGAGACCTCATTATTTCACTCAGGCATGTTGAAGCTGAAGGCATCTAAAGGTTGCAGGACATCGGCCCCCCAAGGGCTGGATCTGAAGATTCCTGTTATAGGTTGTTTTAGATTTGAACGATGTTTTATCAGACTGTCAGTCTGGTTTCAGGAAGCAGGACAGTACAACTGCAACTGCTGTCAAGGTGGTGAATGACATCATTAAATCACATGTTCAGCAAAAGAGCATCAGACCAGCAATAAAATATGAGTATGGTATTGTGATGGTGAGGGGCTACTTTGCTGCTTCAGGACCTGAAAAACTTGTCATAAATGTAACCCCAAATTCTGCTGCCCATCAAAAAATCTTGAAGAATGTTGTACGAGTTCAAACCAACTTGGTTTCTGCAGCAGATCAG